GGAATAAGACCGAGACACGAAAGGAGCACTCTGAGGTTCGGTCGAGGCTGCAGGGTACCGGGGAGGATGGACAAACAGTGCATTTAAAATTTAGGCGCCGGAGACAAACTGAACCAAACAATCGAAAAAAATCACGTTTTCTGCGGACTTATGAAAGCGCTATAATATGTTGTACTTTTGAAACAGTTTAAAACCCTTTCTATGTGCCTCCACAAGAAGAGCTGCAGCTACTAGGAGAGGTATATGTCATAAAACAAAACATACGGCCGCTGACCACCAACATGCATGTGCTGTTCTAACTCAATGCTTCAGTTACATGCACAACCTCTCAAACCCTGTCGCGTATGACGGTCGGAGTGCCCCTTTAATAAAACAGAGGTAAACATTGTGTTTTTGGGCAAAATTTGACGTACCAGAACATGAAATTCTGCTAGATGAAAACAAACTTCTTACCTGCTCACCCTCAGTTGCTTTTTTGGTCAGAAGTGAAACATCTTGCACACCCAAAACTTTTGTTTTTAGTGCACTGGACAAAGACTTTCGGTCCACAGTGAAATTTTGAGGTTGAAGTAAAAAAAGTTTAGACCTAAGAAAAAAAAAAAAACAGTCTAGAGAAGAAGAAAAAACAGTCCAAAGTCAAAAAAAAAAAAAACATAGTCTTTTTTTTCACCAACCCACAAAAGTTTTCCGGCTCAACCACAGATTTTCGGAGGTAGGTGGCTGTGCGAACCCTAGTCTGATGGCTTGATCCGGTGATCGCCGCCATAAAGAATCGTGTTCAGAAGGTGTCCCGCCCCTCTGTTCCTTCTGGATTTCTGCAAGCACATATTTTACATCCCCTCAACGTGCCTCCAAATGCTGGGGACAATCGGTGCATCAAATTTAATTGAATAGCCCAGTTGCGCAGTAGTTGGGTGGGGTCCCGACGCCCTCATTCACTCAATTCTGCTCTGTCTTCCTCAAACCTTTTTGATACTATGGAGGTACATGCACCTCGGATGAATTTGCGGGCAATCCAAAAGCGATCCGTAAAGAACTGAGATGAAGCGAGGCGTGTTTCAAAAAGTAGTTTCAGCGATGTCACCGGATCAAGGCATCAAACCAGGGGTTAGCACCGCCACCTACCTCCGAGAGTTTGTGGTCGAGTTGGAAAACTTTTGTGGGTTGGTGAAAAAAAATACTATGTTTTTTTTTTTTTTTGACTTTGCACTGTTTTGTTTTCTTCTCCAGGCCGTTTTTTTTTCTTGGGTCCAAACTTTTTTACTTCAACGTCAAAATCTCACTGTGGACCGAAAGTCTTTGTTCAGTGCACTAAAAACAAAAGTTTTGGGTGTGCAAGATGTTTCACTTCTGACCAAAAAAGCAACTGAGGGTGAGCAGGTAAGAAGTTTGTTTTCATCTAGTGGAATTTCATGTTCTGGTACGTCAAATTTTGCCCGAAAACACAATGTTTACCCCTGTTTTATTAAAGGGGCACTCCGACCGTCATAGCTGTTGCCTGAAAAAGAGGCAACAGCATTGTCACGGTCTTCGCCCTGTTGCTCCCCTACAGGTATGTACAGTAGTGGTGAAAAAGTTTTTAAATTTTTCACCTCTTTTCTCAGTGAAAAATGCGTAAAAATCCGGCTGAATTTTGGGTGAATAGTTGGTGTAAAACATTATGAATTTTATTTCAAGTTTTTCACCTTGAATTCCACTTGAGATAGTGGTGAAAAAGTTTTAAATTTTTCACCTCTTTTCTCGGTGAAAAATGTCTGAAAAACAAACGACATTTTTCACCGTAAATTGAGGTGAAAAATTTGAATCTCCCAACCAGTGCTTTGTGTGAAATCAGATCACTTTGTGCAAAATTATCTTGTTTTGTTCAAAATTCCTGTATTCTCCGTTGTCCGCAACAAAGAAAGGTTGCTCTTTCAGAAGCAATTTCCTGCTGGGCTGATTCAAGCCAAATTCAGAACTCCTGAAACGCACTTTGATCTGTGCTATTTCAGTGTTCCTTTCGGCACTTGCAAATATTGAAAGAATTCTCTGGCCCAAAAGTTGCTGCTGATTCTTCTCCTTTCAGAAAGCCTTTTCACATATGTGGATACTTTGCTTTATTGGGTGTGACCAAGTCACAATTCAACACACATCAGTTCACGCATTGCTGTCTCCAATCTTTCAAGCCTCTTCATCAGCTCCTCCCACAATGCTTGGACTCTCTTGCACCAGTTTGCGGTAGATACACATTCCTTCGGGACCATTGATACCTAACACACCATACAACGTCGGCAGCAGCTCGCATCCAACACTGCACACGAGCTCATGGTTGATGGCTGCAGGTATATTGTCTGCAATCTGCTTGTGTGCAACTGAAATTACGGAGAAGAATCAGTGTCACGTACGTTGGTTGCACAGATGAACTTACCTTGGAAGTAAGCGTGAACATCAGCATGATAGTGAGCGTGGGGTCCATGTCATCGGGCGGCAGAAGCTTATCTAGATCCTCGGTATGAATTCCGTTCAACCTGATGGCTGCAAGGGCACTCAACACCTAAGCGATGCCCTATGCTGTCCCGTTTGTAAAATAAATCGGTTGCATCTTCACAGGGGCAAAACATATAAAGTTTCGGGAAGTCAACCATATACTGTGGGACTGCTGACCTTCACAAATCTCGAAGGGTCAACTGCACAGATAGAAAACTCCTCGGCAGAATATATTTCGAACAGAGCTTCGAAATATATTTCGACGCAAGTCAAATCTATTTCAATGCACGTCAAATATATTTCGATATTGAGTCGACTCACATATAAACTGAGGGGGGTTCTCTTGGCATCGGGCGGCACAGTGACCAGAGACGTCTGCTCATTGTCTGATGCGGCGCACGTCGAATGTTGGGCACGGTGGTGTCGCGTTGGTTGTGGTCGAGGCATCTGATCACCGCACCGATGCTTGGCAGTGTTTGGCCGGAGCTTTCTGTTGATCGAACAACATAAGTTTGTTGCTTGCCCTAGACCACAACACGTCAACGTGTTTGTTGACTCTGCGCCCGCAGGTTCGTCACAGGTAAGTGCTTGTCTGACCCCATGTGTTGGAAACAGCCTGAAATCCTGAGGACTCCAGCAATTCTCACATAACACGACGAAGAGCACCATGAACGACATGAAGCACGTCAACTCATTTCGTTTACTCTGCATGAGAATATAACAGTGCCGTGGCAACATTCAACACACGTCCCAGTCAGCCTACCACCTGAGGTGAAGGTTCCTTTCCAATCTCAACTGCACATTTGCACCGTGACTCGGGTGAGCCATTTAAATGCAGTTTGATTCATACTGATCCCATTTCTCCACAGGCATCTGGTGTGGTTTTACACAACCCCTTTGTTTGCCGCTACCCTTGGATTGCACGGGCCTGTCGTCAGCTTCGTCAGCAACGCACGCTGCGGGTGTACATTTGAAAGATACATCTCTTCACTCGGAGGTCAGGTGAGTTTGTCAAGTGAAGTTTGGTCTTGACTAACCGGATTGATTGCCAGGTACCTTGTATCCTTTCTACTTGTGTTTGAGGGCCATTGCTGGCGCATGGCAGTACAAGTCTGGCCTTCGGCCTTTTGTGTTTACTATTACTACATATAACACATAGGGCCGTAGGTGGAGTGGTTCATCGTCCTTTTGTGGTACAGAAACTTAGGCCTGAGCACCATTGCTGTACATCCACCACATCGGTTGAATGTTAACCCATCGCGGTTTTAATTTACCTATTGAACTGATGACCCAATGTTATTGGAAGGAGTGCAATCGAAGCCGAGAAACGGATATTGTGGCCCTTGAAAAACATCGGACAGGCGTAATTTCGACAATAGATATACTCGGTATTACCAAAAGTAACCGAGCGTTCGCATTTCTTGGCACATAATGAAGTCTTTTGACATTGTTATAGATTCAAACTGAATCTAGGAGGTGTTTAACACCTAGCTGAACATTGGACTGTGAGTTGGAAGCCCTGTAACATAGTAAAATATTAAATTTACGAAATAACCATATTCCCACCTCAGTGCTTTTCTGGTGAGTATTTCCTTTCACCTTAAGCCTTTAAAAATTGTAGTTGGACTATAACAAGTTCCCTATGAAGTATCAGAGGTCCACAGCCTCGTTGTACCCCTCTGTGAGTGAATTAACCGCGAAGACAAACACCGTTTTTAATCAAACTATGGAACAAACACCTATTCTTCAGGCATAAAATCGGGGATCATGCTTATTTCTGTCACCAATATGTTCAGTAGCGTCCTTCCATAAACCACACACAATTCAGCTATCAACACCGAAGGTACAGCGCGTGATATAGACTATTCCAGGGTGCTCGGTCACTTTTCGTAATACCGAGTATACTCAAAATGCCACCACTATTAATTTCGGCTATGTATCCGAACATTGAGTCATGTATTTCTAGCTTGCTTCGCGCTCCTATACCCACTGGAATTCGTTGGACCTGAATGGGTCTGATAGGTACATTGTGAGTGGCAGTCATGCAGTACACGGACATTGTACAGCTCATGTACATTTTTGTTGCATTTTGGCAGACAGTATATTTTTCACTGCTACTGGGACACAATGTGAGTATGTTTATTTTTCTTCGAAATATTTGTCATTTTGCGGTTGCTTATTAAAACAATCAAAATCTCCTACCATCATGGTGTGAGCTATCACTTTGTGATACACTCCCTCCGTGGCTGAAAAAGGCAAACACGCACTACGGAACGAGCGCGGAAAAAGGGAAGCAAAATCACCAATACGACCTGACCTCGAATTGAACGAGGGTCTCGTATTTGTAGATTATGAGTCACTGTGACCTTTCACAGTACTGCAAATGTGTGCGCTACCAGTTACGCCACCAGGTCTACACTACAAGCATCCAGGAATCGTCAATCAACACCCACAGACGAATCCTTGCGCACGCTCTGCGACGAAAAATACACACACTACGGAGCACAGGAGAAAGTCACCTAGACTTGCAAACACGGCCTGACCTCGATTCGAACGAGGGTTTCGCATTCAACTGATTACGTGTCGCCATAGCGTACAGTAAATGCGCGCGTTACCAGTTACGCCACCAGGCCTACCACTGCAAATTTCCCCAAATCGCTAACAGTGAAAATGGGCTAAATAAGCTCTGAATGCGGGCTAGCTGAACACTAACACACCACACACAAAACCTAACACAACACCAAATCCCCTACTTATACTTCACTAAGACTAAGCGCGTCTTCCTCAGTGAGTTCAGGGTCCGAGCCGTAGTATGCGACTACTGGTTTGGATTCCTAGCACAACGAGAATTGAATTATGGCCTCAACTATCCCAACTAAACAAACACCACACTCTCGGCTAGCTACCCTTGACGTTCCGAAACAAGACTTCCCAAGGTTGGGATGTACAGGTTTGGGGGTGATAAGGATGTTTACTAGGCGGACACACAAAAGTACAGTCGTCCTAGGCGAGGTAAATGAAGTGTCTATCTGAAAACTCCCACTAATGGTTGTTATATCCATGCACCATGACCTCCGACAAACTACTCTGATCGGTCCCTCCGGCTCCGATCGCGCTCCGTCTTCCCGGAGCGCATCGGACCGCCGGAGTAACGGAACAACCGGAGCTCCAACAAAACCTCGGAACGAATCCCCACCATCTGACACCATGGCAAGACGCCATCCCACACATTCCTTATTATCCTAAGTCCTCCGACTTCTTACTTATTGTTTCAACATCGTTCCTTTTGTCACCTGACTTCTTCCTCCCCTTTCGGACTTACCTTTATTGTTATGTCTGCATGGTTTCTAACATATCTCCTTTACCTACTACAATAAGGAGCTCTAGTATTTAATCTAGTTCTACATCCTCCTGTACTTCAGTTTTATGATAAATGTTGCTTCACCCCGTTCCTCGTGAAGTAGTCTGGTCGTTCCGCTCCGACACTCCGTCGGAGCTCCGCTTCTATCATCTCTGTCCCCCCGACGATATCCTGCAGTAACGTTCGCCCAATTATCCCCTCTGTGGCGTAGCGTCATCCAGTCCGCCTTTCACCAGCCGCCTTATAAGGCCAGTTTAATGCGTTAAATGCTGGGTCCTCGCCACGGGCTCAATGTGTTATTCCTGGGGATACTATATGCGGAAGTGCGGGTGATCCCGGGACCCCACGGATACAACAGGTGCCTCCCCTTTGCCGGGAAACATCATCCCGGTTTTGCATGGCTTGCTTCGGCATTTGTGTGGGCTTGCCGGGGAAGGATTATGCAATAATTTGTCTCTAAAATAATGTGTAAATTGCCGGCCATTGCCGTGAATTTGATGGCTGTCCGTATTGGGTTGGGACTGATGGCTCCGGCCATTGCCTTGAAATTGATGGCTGTTCGTATTGGGGTGCTATAACGGGCCGTATTGGGTTGCAATTGATGCCTGGTTGCTTTAAAAGCCAATATTGGTTGAAAAAGCGCCAGCTCTCGGAAAATATTTTGCATTTTGCGGGCCAGCAGGGGCACTAGGTGAAAAATGGTTTAACAACTCTTGTAGCCCTCAATGAGCTCTACAAGATGGGTATAGGGATCAGGGGTTTGGCCGATGACTTTCCTTTTTCGCTCCTAGCCCGTAATTGAACTGTTTTGCATGATCCAGCCCTATAAGCATGCTATTATAGGTTCTTTGCAGCCCACTGGAGCACAGTAGAGCCTATTATAGTGCAATAATAGGGTGAAAATAGCGAACATCGATAAATTATATTCTGGGCACGATATCTTGGGGATATATGAATGAAAATGGTTTTTAAATGTGTCCACTTGTTTCCCTAGGCTGAAAGGCCACCCTCCAGGTCATATATCAGATCCTGGTGATGAAAAACAACACAATTTGGCCATGCAAGGAAATCGGACTTTGTCCCTATTATGCACTCCTCCATGATGTAATATATCCCAAAGCATACCTTTAGGGACTGTCTCATGTATTTGTATTGGAAAAGTGAGAAATTATCACCTAGGGAAGCCTATACCCCATGGTTTGAGGTGACTTTGTTTTAGATTCTTGTTCACCATATTCACCATGCCACAGGGCCATAAATCATGTTCTGAAAGTTCCTACTAACTCTCCTGGGCTATATGAACAGTTTTAAGCCAAAAGGCTGGCCAACACATGATGTAAAAGTCGAAAATAAGAAAATAACATATTTTGCTTATTTCATATATAGGGCACCAAGGAGACCATATTCAGGGGAATAAACAATGGGAATGAGCTCAGACAGTACAATCACTCGAAGTTATGCTTTATTTCAAGTGTCTTGGCCCAGTTTTGGCCAGATGGTGTTTTGAACTATGGCTAAGATATTCACCAAAAGTTGCACTTGAACTCATATCCTCGCAAGCAGCATTCAGCCAAAGATTCACCAAAATAGTTGAAATAAAGCGTAATCTGCGACAACTGAACTGTCTCAGTTCATTCCCATTGTTTATATCACACAATATGGTCTCCCTAGTGCCCTATTCATAAAATAAGCAAAATGTGTGATTTGCATTTTTGACTTTTATCATCATATATTGGCCAGCCATTAGGCTCAAAACTGTTCAAATGGCTCATAAAAACAAGTAGGAGCTATCAGAGCTGCATCTATGACCCTGTGGACAGCTGAATATGGCACACAAGAGGATAATAAAAAAACCACATTAAAGCATGAGGTATGTGGTGTTCTGAGTGTTAATTGTGCAGTTTTCTGCTATAACTACATGATACAAGCCAAAAGGATTTGTTTTGTGAGAGTTCCCATCAATGAGGGTTGAATAATAGGGTAAAGTGCAATTTTATTATATGGCCAAATTGCAATGTTTTGCATGATCAGGAGGTGATACATTGCGTGGAGGGTGACTTTGTAGCCTACAGGAACAAGTGGAGGCATCCAGGAGTTATTTTAATCGGTATATTCCCAAGGTATTCTGGCCAGAATTTAATTGATCAATTTTCGCCATTTTCACCATATTGATGCACTGTAACAGGCTCACTATGCTCCAGTTGGCTGTAGGGCACCTCTAAGAACATCAATACACAGTTACATCATCCGAAACGGTTCAATTACGGGCTAGGGAGCGAAAGTTTCCTTTTTGGGACGAGAAGTGGTAGTGTCCCAAAAAGGAAAGTCATCGGCCAAACCCCTGATCCCTATACCCATCTTGTAGAGCTCATTGAGGGCTACAAGAGTCGTTAAATCTTTTTTCACCTAGTGCCCCTGCTGGCCCGCAAAATGCAAAATATTTTCTGAGAGCCGGTGCTTTTTCAACCAATATTGGCTTTTAAAGCAATTAGGTATCAATTGCAACCCAATACGGCCCGCTATAGCACCCCAATACGAACAGCCATCAATTTTAAGGCAATGGCCGGAGCCATCAGTCCCAACCCAATGCGGACAGCCATCAATTTCAACCATTTTTATTGATTTATGGTTTAAAGGGTATATATATGTATTGTGGCTGTGGGGCAACTCCCCAGACATAACACATTGAGCCTGTGGGAAGGACCCAGCATTTAACTTGTTATCCTGACCATATGAGCTGCACCAGCTCCGACTCCGGACTCCGGTTCTGTTCTGTCCGGCCCGCCGCTCCGCTTCGTATCTGTTGTTAGTTCGACTGGCCCTATATCCCTCCGTACCATCTCCCTGGACGACTCGGATATAACAGTATCATAAAACTGACCTGCTCAGTATCGTTTGCTATGTCGTCTTCATCGCTCCGTACTACTCCTTGGTTCCTCCTGTCGCCGGCGTCTATGCGGCGCAGGACCGAGGCGTACTCCTCCGCACAAATCAACTCCGAGCCTACCGACGATAAGTGCTCATCTGATCTCGTCACTACGGATGCTAGTCACTACCCCATCTCAGTGATTACCACTCCATTTGGTCCTCCGGAAACTGGGTCTCTCCGCACCAGCTTCACCACTTATAATTCTCCGGCACCGCCCTCTCCGTCGAGATCCGACTCCGAGTCGATCTTCGGGGACCGGCAATCTGCCCGGGAAGAGCTGGCCGCTTTCCCGTCATTCAACGATCCATCCACCCTTCCGGAATCCATTGCACTCACTCCGTCCGAGCCCGCGCTTACTCCGAGTCCCTCGGACCGCGGCCTCGATGGTGAATATCAGCACATCGATCAGTACTGCTCTCCCATCCATTCTCCACCTCATCCACCAGTCCCTGGTTCCCAGGCCTCTTACCATGACCTCGGACCAGTTCACATCCTGTACCTGGAATTTTTCGACGGCACCAATCCGTTGAAAATCGATTCGTTCATCACGCAGTGCTTCGCGCACTTCGCCGGGCATCCTCGGACATACGCCTCGGACGATGATAAGATCACCTTCATGCTCCACTTCCTAAAGGGGCAGGCGGCTGATCTTTTCAACGAATCGGGCCGTGTTGAGGAGTTTTCCTGGCATGGAAACTTTTCCACGTTCATCGGGGAGTTCCTGGATGTGTTTGGCCGTCGGAGTCGTCACGCCGACGTGGACTACGAACTCCGACGCCTCCGGATGAAACATGGGGATCCAGTTGGGCCATTCCTCGAGGAGTTTGAGGCTCTCACTCCGTTCATGGCCTGGAATGACTCCGCAGTCTCCCACGCTCTCTACTCCGCGCTTCCGCTCCGTATCACCATGCAGCTCGACGATCTCATCACGTATCCGTCCAACTACGCCGGACTCCGCTCCCTAGTGATTCGGCTCGACACCAAACACTGGCAGGCAGTTCTTCTGGCTGGGAGCGCGACTCCGGAGCAAGGGAATTCGGCTGACTGTGCTCGCGGGTTCTTCAGAACGCCTCTCAGTGCTCACGCAGGCTCCGAAACCCCCGCTGCCAACGATCTACTGTTCTCCGGCACTCCGGAGCCACCAGTCGTTGCCGAACCTAACACCACTCACTCAGACACTTCCTCCGGCATGCCGTCACTCATGTCGTTACCCATCCATCACGACTCGCCCACTCCGCTCTCTCCGATCTCCTCCGGACCCCCGTGCGCTTATCAAGTCGCGGTTCCGATGGAGGTTCGGCGTGAGCGCAAGCGTTCCGCATCCATTGCGGGCCTTCTTGTGC